CAATTCATTTTCTTTCTATTTTTTAGTAGAGACGGGGTCTTGCTCTTGCTCAGGCTGGTTTTGAACTCCTGACCTCGAGCATCTGCCGCTCTCGGCCTCCCAGAGTGCTAGGACTACAGGTGTGAGCCACCTCGCCCGGCCTGTTCTACTTCTTTTATTGTCACTGGAATCATTAGGAAAAATTCAGTAATAATTGCAATCGATTTGCATTCATTTCTAGGAATAACTACTACAGGTTGAGTATTCCTACCCTGAGAATCTGAGATCTGAAATGCTCCAAAATCCAAAACTTTTTGAGCACCGACAGGACATCACAAGTGGGAAATTCTACAATGTGATCTCACAGGGCAGGTGACAGGCAAAATGCAGGTGCACAACACACAGTTTGTTCTGTGTTCCCAAGGGAAAAATAAAAACGACCTTCAGTTATGTATAAGGTATACAGAAACATAAATGATCTGGAGGCTGAGGCAGAGGATCGCTTGAGATCAGGAGTTCGAGGCTAGCCTGAGCAAGAGCAAGACCCTGTCTCTACTAAAAAATAGAAAGAAATTAATTGGCCAATTAAAAATATATAGGAAAATTTAGCTGGGCATGGTGGCGCATGCCTGTAGTCCCAGCTACTCGGGAGGCTGAGGCAGGAGGATCGCTTGAGCCCAGGAGTTGGAGGTTGCTGTGAGCGGAGGCTGAGCCACGGCACTCACTAGCCTGGGCAACAGAGTGAGACTCTGTCAAAAAAAAAAAAAAAAAAATTAAGATAGCACGTATTATCTTCTAACATACTATATAATTTATTATTATTATTTTTTTTTATTATCTCTTATCTATCTCCTCCTGGTTGCATGGAAGCTCTGCAAGAGCAGGGCTCTTTGTTTGGTTCACTGACATGTCCCAAGATTCTAGAACAGTGCCTGACACATGCTAAGTGCCCAGTAAATGTTTGCTGAGTGAATACATGAACAAGAGGCCCGGACAAGCCACTGGCATTTTTTTGGTCACTCTCCTTACTATCTCTCCCGGGAGTGGCGAGATATCATGGGTGAGGACAGATGTCAGAAAAACACAGTGCTTTTTCTGGAAAGTTCTAGCAACTGGGATGAACCTGGACAAGGCGTAAGGTTCTTTCCAACTTGTCAGAGTTCTAACTCGGATCCTAACTCCCTTCCCCAAATATCCTTCTGCTACTAAGGCTCTGGTATTCACCCCCTCGCTGTCAGTCTGGACCCCTGGGGTCCTCATTTGGCCAACTGCGGGCCAGGGTCCCCGGCCCGGTCTCCGGATCGGGACATAACACATACGGCGACACGCACACGGGAGGGACACACGCCTTCTACACGCACCTGACCACGCAGAACAGGTTAACGTTGGCGTTGTACACGGAAAAGTCAATGAAGGTCGCCCGGGTCCCCCGGTCCAACCAGACGTTTCTGCGGAGGCTGGCAAGCTGGGCGGCTGTCTCCTCTCTGGTCCTCGACAGATCCAGGTAGTAGCCGGCGCCGCTATAGGTCGCGACGATGCCCCAGTGGCTGCTACCGTTCAGGTCTTTCTCACTAGTGTAGATCCAACTAATTAAGAAACAAGAACAAACAGTAACGAAATAAGATCAGCCGTACACTTGTGGCCGGTGAGATAAAGTTTGTCATTAGTCTTACCGAGCTGGGCGATGTGCTTGACATGGGACTTCGTAAGTTTTCTTAAAATTTAATTCTCATACACTTATTAGCCCCATTTTAGGAATGAGGGTCCTGAGACTTAGCAAGGTCAAATTAGGTCAACTTAGTCCCCAAACTTTTTTTTTTTTGGAGATAGTGTCTTGCTATGTTGTCCAGGCTGGACTTGAACTTGAGATTCTCCTATCTCAGCCTCCTGAGTAGCAAGGACTATCGGTGCCCACCACCATACCTGGCTTAGTCTCGGAGTTTTTTTTTTTTGTTTTTTTTTGAGACAGAGTCTCACTTTGTTGCCCAGGCTAGAGTGAGTGCCGTGGCGTCAGCCTCGCTCACAGCAACCTCAAACTCCTGGGCTCAAGCGATCCTCCTGCCTCAGCCTCCTGAGTAGCTGGGACTACGGGCATGTACCACCATGCCCCGCTAATTTTTTCTATATATTGTTAGTTGTCCAATTAATTTCTTTCTATTTTTAGCAGAGACAGGGTCTCGCTCTTGCATCAGGCTGGTTTCGAACTCCTGGCCTTGAGCGATCCTCCTGGCTCGGCCTCCCAGAGTGCTAGGATGACAGGCGTGAGCCACCGCGCCTGGCCAAAAGGTCCATTTTTCTTATTTTCTAGCCATGTGACCACAAGCATTTAAGCACCCTGAATTTCACTGTCCTCATTAGCAAAATATTAGCATATTACCGGTACTTACCTTGGGAGGTTACTATGGGGATTAAATAAGGTACGAAACACTGAGCACGCTGTCAGGCACATGCAAGGCTCTCCATAAATGTCACTTTACCCCTCTCTGGGAGTAGGACCAGTAACTCCCAGCAACTCACCACAACCTAGAAGAGCTCCCACTGGGGTAAACACATGGCAGGCCCTGCAGGTGCGCATGCGTTCAACTTACGAAGCCACGGGAAGGACTGTCAGCGATCAGGAGGTAGTTTCAAAGTCATCTGCAAATACCTTCCAGAAGTCTTCCATCGAAGACAGGGTCTTAAAGGTGGTTTTCTCGGTTTTGGACACCGGGGTGTCCAGGAAGAGCTGTGACATCATCCGGGTGTAGTAGTACACACTGGAGCTCATCATGCCATAGGTCACTGGAACACAGAAAGATCCAGAGCAACTCCACGAGGGATCTGCACCGCACAAGTCCACCCGGCCCAACCTCCCGGCCCACGGGCATCTAGGACAAACATCCACATCAGTCTTCTTCTCACCCTTGCCTTCTTCCTTCCCCTGTCATCCTTCTAGGACATTCTGCTATCTCTCTCAGTTTACGCCAAAAATAGTAACATTAACATTGGCTTATGGGAAACAAATTAGCTTTTTTTCCCCAAAATATTAATTTCTTTTATTTTTTCTTTCTTTTTTTTTTTTTTTTCCTAAGGGGCTATCCATGCATTGTAATCTTTTAATTTTTTTTTTTTTTTTAAGAGACAGGGTCTTGTTCTGTTACCAACTGGAGTGCAGTGGCCCATCTCAGCTCACGGCAGCCTCGAACTTGCGGACTCCAGTGATTCTCCACACCTCAGCCTCCCAAGTGAAGCTGGGCTACAGTCGCAGCACT